CATAGAAAGAATAACTAAAAAGAAAAAAAAAAAAAAAAGGAATGTTATACCGGAAGGAAAAGATCAATCTGATCATGTGAGTTTGTGTGACAAATACTTAAGATGATCAATGTGCGGGATGGGACACGTTGTTTATGGTATTTACATTATACAAAGTAAACATTGAGCCAGTTATCATTGAAATGAAAAGGATTCAATTACGTATCTGTTGATATGAAAATGGTCAAAATGATTGGTTAAGTTGAGAATTAGAAAAAGAAATAGACCGAAATTATCTGTCCTCAAAATAATGATCTCATTTCATAGCTGTAAATTCAAATGACTAATCTAACCTTTCGATTAACAATATGTCTTCTTCCTTTGATCGTATGCTTTCTACATTTATCGTATTAACCGGAAAGTTTCATCACTGTTGAAAAATTAAATCAATAATCTCATATTCGTAATGCATCAGAAGACGGGAAAAGAAAAAAAAAAAGAAAAAACCAAACACAAAAATGACAGTTTAATCCTTGCTTCATTTTGTGATAACAAAATATTTCTTCGTCATTTTTCGTTGCACGATATCTCGGTAACAAATCGATCAGTCATTTCGAGTATTTCATTTACAATATACTATTACAATTACATACAAAATTACACGTGTGCTATAGTCAAAAAGATATTATGACGCATAATATTGGTTAATTTATCTGTGAATCAAAATTATGGTTTTTTAACTCCAAAATAAGTAAACTAGTAATAAGAAAAATTCATTTAACTGATTATTGCATTAAAAACGTATCGAAGTGAAGATAGTAATCTTTAAGGTATTTATCAAAATTTAATTTTGCTAACCAGTTTAGTTTGTCATAAACTAATAAATGTAATTCTATTATAGTGATAGCTAAACGATCAGAATGGGTAACTTGTAGTGAGAAGCATTTGGTATAGTTTATAAATAAGCGTAACTTTGTATGATGAAGTAACGTAACTTACTATCAATATATCACTAGGATTA